CGCCAGTTCCTTTAGCACTCTCGGATTCAACTCGTCCGGCCCCATGGACTTGTGCACGTCCAGCTTTTCTAAATAGTCCCTAACCACCTCTTTCTTCACAGAGGGCTGGCCATCTATTCCCCGTATTGTGAAGCCCAGCGCAGCAGTCTGGGAGCTGACCTTGTTAGTGAAGACAGAGGCAAAAAAAGCATTGAGTACATTAGCTTTTTCCACATCCTCTGTCACTAGGTTGCCTCCCTCGTTCATTAAGGGGCCCACACTTTCCTTGGCTTTCTTCTTGTTGCCAACATACCTGAAGAAACCTTTCTTGTTACTCTTAACATCTCTCGCTAGCTGCAGCTCCAGGTGCGATTTGGCCCTCCTGATTTTATTCCTACATGCCCGAGCAATATTTTTATACTCTTCCCTGGTCATATGTCCAACCTTCCACTTCTTGTAAGCTTCTTTTTTATGTTTAAGATCCGCTAGGATTTCACTGTTAAGCCAAGCTGGTCGCCTGCCATATTTACTATTCTTTTGACACATCGGGATGGTCTGTCCCTGTAACCTCAACAGGGATTCCTTGAAATACAGCCAGCTTTCCTGGACTCCTTTCCCCTTCATGTTAGTCCCCCAGGGGATCCTACCCGTCCGTTCCCTGAGGGAGTCGAAGTCTGCTTTCCTGAAGTCCAGGGTCCGTATCCTGCTGCTTACCTTTCTTCCCTGTGCCAGGATCCTGAACTCAACCAACTCATGGTCACTGCCTCCCAGATTCCCATCCACTTTTGCTTCCCCCACTAATTCTTCCCAGTTTGTGAGCAGCAGGTCAAGAAAAGCTCCCCCCCTAGTTGGCTCCTCTAGCACTTGCACCAGGAAATTGTCCCCTACGCTTTCCAAAAACTTCCTGGATTGTCTATGCACCGCTGTATTGCTCTCCCAGCAGATATCAGGAAAATTAAAGTCACCCATGAGAATCAGGGCATGCGATCTAGTAGCTTCTGCGAGCTGCCGGAAGAAAGCCTCATCTACCTCATCCCCCTGGTCCGGTGGTCTATAGCAGACTCCCACCACTACATCACTCTTGTTGCTCACACTTCTAAACTTAATCCAGAGACACTCAGGTTTTTCTGCAGTTTCGTACCGGAGCTCTGAGCAGTCATACTGCTCCCTTACATACAGTGCTACTCCCCCCCCTTTTCTGCCCTGCCTGTCCTTCCTGAACAGTTTATAACCGTCCATGACAGTACTCCAGTCATGTGAGTTATCCCACCAAGTCTCTGTTATTCCAATACGTCATAATTCCTTGACATCACCAGGACCTCCAGTTCTCCCTGCTTGTTTCCAAGGCTTTGTGCATTCGTATATAAGCACTTGAGATAACCTGCTGATCGCCCCTCATTCTCAATATGAGGCAGGAGCCCTCCCCTCACAGACATTCCTGCCTGTGCTTCCTCCCGGTATCCCGCTTTCCCACTTACCTCAGGGCTTTGGTCTCCTTCCCCCGGTGAACCTAGTTTAAAGCCCTCCTCACCAGGTTAGCCAGCCTGCTCGCAAAGATGCTCTTCCCTCTCTTCATAAGGTGGAGCCCGTCTCTGCCTAGCACTCCTTCTTCATGGAACACCATCCCATGGTCAAAGAATCCAAAGCCTTCTCTCCGACACCACCTGCATAGCCATTCGTTGACTTCCACGATTCGACGGTCCCTACCCAGGCCTTTTCCTTCCACGGGGAGGATGGACGAGAACACCATTTGCGCCTCAAACTCCTTTATCCTTCTTCCCAGAGCCACGTAGTCCGCAGTGATCCGCTCAAGGTCATTCTTGGCAGTATCATTGGTGCCCACGTGGAGAAGCAGGAAGGGGTAGCGATCCGAGGGCTTGATGAGTCTCGGCAGTCTCTCTGTCACATCGCGAATCTTAGCCCCCGGCAAGCAGCAGACTTCTCGGTTTTCCTGGTCAGGGCGGCAGATAGATGACTCAGTCCCCCGGAGTAGAGAGTCCCCGACCACCACCACCCGCCTCCTTCTCTTGGGAGTGGTGGTCGTGGAACTCCCCATCTCAGGACAGTGCATCTCATGCCTTCCAACCAGCGGAGTCTCCTTCTGCTTTCTCCCCCCAGACATATCAGCTGGTCCACTCTCCTCAACGGTACCTGTGGAGAGAACATGAAAGCGGTTAGTTACCTGTGTCCGCGTTGCTGGAACCCGGACATTCCCCCTTCTTCTTCTGGAGGTCACATGTTGCCAAGCTTCTTCACTGGCCTCTTGGCTCCGCTGTGCAACCTGCTCTAAATCTTTAGAGCTTTGTGCCCGTAGAAGCATATCCTGACTTTTGTCCAGAAAATCCTCCATTTCTCATATGCAACACAGGGTCGTTGATCATCATGGTCCATTCTGGCCTTATGTAAAACTCCAGCAGAGACTCTGGCCAATCGATAGTGCTGTAACTATAGCAACCATTCAAGAGGACGCATCTGTCTTGGTTCCACTCCAGGCTCATCCTTGCATTCCTCTTCCAAATGCTCCCCCACCCCTTGGGACAGTGAACGTTCCCTCAATGGAATCAGGCACAACATTTAATTGAGCAGAAGGTTCCATTTGTTCTGAATTCTGGAGTGGCTACAATGTAGGAATCGGTTTATCCAGTTGGTTACACTTCTGGGTGCTGCTCCTACAGGGTGTTGTAAAAAAGAACCAGCAAAATTCCGTTTTATTGGACTCTATAAGCAGGGGTGCCCATTATGCCCTATGCTGCATTGCAGGTATGGACTATGTGACCTTCTCTTCCCTCTTTGCTGTGATACCCTCCCCTACTGTAAGGCTCCAGTCCAGCATGTCCATTACCCACCACTCTTGAACTGATGACAACCCCACCCGTGGCTGAAGGTAAATTGGAATCTAACTCGGATTTGTTCCCCTTGGACTCAACAGCAATTTCACACCCAGATAACTTTACAGCCATTGGGTCCAATTCTCTTTTCTACTAACGGGGGTGGAACTGCCCTGTAGAACTGCCCTGGTGTAAATGGTTTCTCTGGCTGGGAGAGAGCTATTAAAATGGTTCTGTTTTGGCCCCCCAATCCAGATTCTTAGACAGGATGTGGCCCAGGGATGGAGGGGGCATGGGCATAGCACACGGGAATGCAGCTCCCTTGCTTGGTGAATGACTCATAAGGAACCATTGCAGACAGAACATTGATTAAGGCACCTTTGAGGTCACTCTAATGGCATGGCTACACTTGCAGATGTAGAGCGCTTTGAGTTAAACCTGCCTTCGGAGAGCGCAGTAGGGAAAGCGCTGCAGTCTGTCCACACTGACAGCAACAAGCGCACGGGCGTGGCCACATTTGCACACTTGCAGCGGCATTGGGAGCAGTGCGTTATGGGCAGCTATCCCACAGAGCACCTCTTCCCATTCTGGCGTTCTGGCTTGTGGGAAGGGGATGGGGGTAGCATTCTGGGTCCTGTCCCAACGCCCCGTGATGCATCGGTTCGCATCCCAGCAATCCCTGTGCTTCCATCCACACTTGGCGCCATCTTTCAATGTTTTCTATACTGTGCACTCTGTCTTCCCTTTCGCTCTGCGGGAATGGAGCCCGAACTGCTGAGGAGTACGCTGACGAGTCTCGCCAGCACGTCACGTTTGGCAGTCGAGTTATTCCTTATACTCCAAAGTGACAGTGAGGGCTCCGATGATATTGACTCAAGTAATGCATATGACACAAGTTTGCTTGTGGCATTCACGGACATGCTCACCACCGTGGAACTTTGGTTTTGGGCTTGGGAAACAAGCACTGAGTGGTGGGATCACATCGTCATGCAAGTCTGGGATGACGAGCAGTGGCTGCAGAACTTTCGGATGCAGAAAGCCACTTTCATGGGACTGTGTGAGGAGCTTGCCCACACCCTGCGGCGCAAGGACACGATATTCAGAGCTGCCCCGACAGTGAAGAAGACGGTGGCTATTGCAATCTGGAAGCTGGCAACTCCAGACAGCTACCGATCGGTCACCAACTAGTTTGGAGTGGGAAAGTCAACCGTTGGAATCATGTTGATGCAAGTTTGCGGGGCCATTAATCGCATCCTGCTCAGAAGAACTGTGACTCTGGGTAACGTACATGACATTGTGGATGGCTTTGCACAAATAGGTTTACCTAACTGTGGAGGGGCGATAGATGGGATGCATATTCCAATTCTGGCACCAGCCCACCTAGCTTCCAGGTACGTTAATCGGAAGAGGTATTTTTCTATGGTTCTCCAGGCGCTTGTGGGTCACCGTGGGCGTTTCATTGACATTATCGCAGGCTGGCCCGGAAAGGTGCATGAGGCACGCATCTTTTGGAACACTGGCCTGTTCAGGAAGCTGCAAGCCGGGACTTTCTTCCCAGACTAGAAGATCACCGTAGGGGAAGTCGAAATGCCCATTGTGATCCTTGGAGACCCTGCTTACCCTTTAATGCTGTGGCTCATGAAACCCTACGCAGGGAGCCTTGACAGCAGCAAGGAGCGGTTCAACAACAGGCTGAGCCAGTGCAGAATGACTGTGGAGTGTGCTTTAAAGGGCCGCTGGCGCTCTCTGTATGGGAAGCTGGACCTGGCCGATGACAGCATCCCCACAGTTATATCCGCATGCTGTACCCTCCATAACATTTGTGAAGGGAAGGGTGAAAGATTCACTCAGGCATGGACCTTGGAGGTTCAACACCTGGAGGCTGAATTTGAACAGCCAGAGAGCAGGGCTATTAGAGGGGCCCAGCGTGGGGCTGCAAGGATTAGGGATGCCTTGAGGGAGCAATTTGAGGCTGAAAGCCACCAGTAATGTCTGGTGCCCTGCACGGGAGTGAAGTGCAGTGGTTTCAATGTTAGTAGGAATCTATGTTTGCTACGCTGACTTGCAGTGCCTGTTTCTTTCCTGGGCTAAGGTATCTTTTACTTTATGCAGTAATAAAGAATGTTTTCAAAGCAAAAAAATCCAAGTATTGAAAATAAAATTCATTTATTGAAAAGAAACACAACTGCTTGGGAAACAGAAAGGGCAAGGGGGTGGCGTGGGGGGTCCAATCACAGATTTGTGTATGTCGTTATCACACTCAGCCTTCCTGTCTGGAGTGCTGTACAATGAGCGCTGCACTTCAGGATGGCTATAAGGCATGTTGAGGGGGGCTGAGTGCAGTGGGTCAGGGTCGTAGTTTTCAGGGCTGGGTGGTGAAGCTACAGGTGTTGGAGGCAGCTGGTGGCGGTCAGAACCCGGATGTTGGGGAAAGTGGGTTGGAGGTGACATGGGAGCACAAGGGAAAGTTTTGGACAAGCGCTGTGGGGGGGGTTGGGCACGGTAGTGCTCCGCCTGCATGGCTACGAGCGCCTGGATCGAGTCCGCTTGGCGCTCCATTATGCTTATCAGCCGCTCCGTGCTTTGCTGCCAGAGCACAGTGCTTTTGTGCCGGCACGCCTCATTCTGCTGGCGGATCCTCCTTTCACTGTCCCACCACTCCTGCACTTTTTGATTTTCATTACTTGAATGCTGCATTACTTCATGTAACATGTCTTCCTTGCTTCTACATGGCCTCTTTCTGATTCTTTGCAAAAAGAAAAGGAGGACTTGTGGCACCTTAGAGACTAACCAATTTATTTGAGCAGAGCTTTCGTGAGCTACAGCTCACTGCATCATGCATCTGATAATAAATTGGTTAGTCTCTAAGGTGCCACAAGTACTCCTTTTCTTTTTGCAAATACAGACTAACACGGCTGTTACTCTGAAACCTTTCTGATTCTTTGGAGTCTTTCGGCCGGTGATAACATGGATGGCTGAGATCTCAAGGTTGCATCTGTAAAGGCAAAATGCAACACTTAACAGAGGCAGCATTGTTCACACCAGACAGAGCAATGATTCCCCCCTACTTAAGGGCAAGCACAGTCTACACAATAGCATAATTTGCCGATCCCAAAGTGAGCGCACATAACCCACGGGAGCCCCAAAATGGTGAGTAAGCACAGGATCAAGTATGACTGATTGTTTCATGGCCGTACTGTCCTCTGGGTTTCTGTGCCTTAGGGAGAGCCAACAGTGGCAGGGGGGCCCTATACTGAACACTGTCCCCTCATTTTCCACAGGAGTTCGGCCTGGAAGAGATCTCGCTGCTGAGGGTGACCTGGGAAGCAAGGGAGGGTCTTCTGCTGCTATGTGGATTCCGCCCTGGCCCATATGCAGCTTGCCTGTGTGCAACAATGGTCCCTCTGCCCCTCACGGCACGGTGGTGCGGACATGTTAGCCTTACTGGGACAAGGACCACAGTGGCTCTCCCGAGAAACCTGCACAAGCGCATTGCCCAAGCTCTGGATGAGACCTTTGAAGAGATCACTGAGGCCGATTACCGCGATGTGAGAGAGCACATCAATGCCTTATTCCGCATCTAGGCATGCATGCAGCCCTAACCTTCCTTGCCCCAAGAGCCTGCACCGAATAACTTCCTTCCCAAAATAAAAGCCGCTTACTGGGCACCTCCTCTGGTGTTTGTCCTTCCCCAGGCACTGACCGCTGCGACCCTCCTCCTGGCTTGAGAACAGCTCTTGGCTGCATGCATCTAGGGATTCTGGGGTGTCTTCCTCCGCCTCAGCACCCTCGCTCCCACTTTCCTCCTCCTCCTGCCTTGTTGAACTGGGCTCTGAAGTGTCCATGGTGGTCTTCAGAGTGGAGGTGGGGTCGGCCCCAAGTATCGCGCCTGGCTCTTTGTAGAAACAGCAGGTCACGGGGGCAGCACCGGAGTGGCTGTTTGCCTCGCGGGCTTTGCGGTAGGCATCCTGCCGCTCCTTCACTTTAACCCTGCGCTGCACTGCGTCCCGGTCATGACCCCTTTCCATCATGTCCCTTGATAGCTGCCCGAATGTATTGTAATTCCTGCAGCTGGAGCGCAGCTGGGACTGGACAGCTTCCTCCCCCCAAACACTGATGAGGTCCAGCACCTCGCATTTGCTCCTTACTCGGGATCGTCTGGCGCGCGGCGGCATGGTCACCTGGACAGATGCGCTGAGAGCACTCCACGCCTGGCTGAGCAAACAGGAAGGGGATTTTCAAAATTCCCAGAGAATTTAAAGGGTGGGTCTAACGGGTGGTCACCTGAGGGCAGGCCAGTAGAGGTCAGAGTGATGACCAGAGTGGCTAGCACAGGCATTGTGGGACACGTCTGGAGGCCGATCCGAGCGCACTAACAGACCAGGGCGTCCACACTGGCGCCGTGGCGCTCCAGCGGGGGCGCAGCAAACGTTATTCCACTCGCCGAGGTGGATCACCAGGAGCGCTCTAGCCACGGAGTCCGAGCGCTCTACGTGCCTTGCCAGTGTGGACGGTAGTGAGCTAGGGCACCCGGGCCTCCTTTATTGTGCTGTAACTCGCAAGTGTAGCCAAGCCCTAAGATACTGTGCACTGCGGGCTGGGAAGACCTCTGGTTGAATGGAGCATTCAGGAGGTGCAAGCTGGTCCTTTGCCTCTCTTCCTCCTTCATCCCTTAGCCAAGTGCAGGAACGGAGAGACAGAATTTGGGCCAAAGCACCCAATTCTCCTGATGGAGGCAAAGCTCAGATGGAATTTGATAGGGGATTTATCCGTGTCTGGGCTGGAGCCACAGAAAATTTTCACTCCATTAATCCTCTGCTATGTTTCTCCATGTCCGCAGGTGAACAGAAGAGACAAAGCCAGGCTGCGCCTGCAAACTCGGCAGCTGCCCAACCGGAGGGAGCTAGCTCTCCCAAATGCCTTCCAATACTATTTGGCAGCACAGCTCCAGTTCACATCACTCTGGGCCTGTCCTGAGGCTGGCGCTCCACACTCAGAGTAAGCCAGGGCACCCCATAGCCACTCCAGCAGCATAGAGGGCCAGACCTGTGCGATGAGAGGCTGGGACAGAATTCCCCTGGATGTACTGAGGGCATGAGGGGTGAGGGCCATAGTGTGCCCCTGAGGGGGTTCCTAGGGAGCCATCATGAAGCGACTGTAAATCGGGGCACTTCTGCAGCTGCTCATCTACACCAATGACCCTGCCAGCCCCCAGCCAGCTCATAATCCAAAGGCACAAATGTGGCGTGAAGTTGGTTTGACCCTCTGCCCCCTGTGCTGCACTCTATGGGGGCAGCGTGCAGACGCTCAGCCTAGAAGACTCACGGGGAAGAGGCCAAGGAGGAGCCCAGCCTCAGGGACACGAGCGGGGCCAGGGCCACGTCTGTGATTTGGTTATTGACAGCACACTCTGCAGGAGCCAGCACATGCCGCTGCTCACAGTCACCCCACCAGTGCCCTGCCCACGAGCAATGGAGCGCCCAGCGTGTAGGATTCCCAACTTTCTAGGAGCAGAAAATTGAATACCCTTTCGCCACCCCCCTGCCCAGAGACCCGCCCCACCCCTTCTCTGAGGCCCCGCCCCCTCCCTCTGTTGCTCACTCTCCCTCACCCTTGCTGACTCGTTCATTTTCACCAGGCTGGGGCAGGGGTTTGGGGTGCAGGAGGGGATGTGGGTCTCAACTGGGGGTGTGGGCTCTGGGGTGGGGCCAGGGATGAGGATTTTGGGGTGCAGGAGGGGGCTCCGGGTGGGGGGAGGGGCCAGGGTTTTGGAGTGTGGGAGGGGGCTCTGGGCTGGGGCAGAGGGTTGAGGTGCAGGAGAGGGTACAGGCTCTGGGCTGGGGGTGCGGACTCCAGGGTGGGGCCAGAAATGAGGGATTCTGGGTGCAGGAGGGGGCTCTGGGATGGGGTGGGGGTTGAGGTGTGGGAGGGTGTTGAGGGTGTGGGCTCTGGGGAAGTGGCAACATGTCCCTGTGGCTCCTAGGTGGAGGGGCGGCCAGGTGGGTCCGCGTGCTGCCCCCACCCACAGGTGTCACCACTGCAGTTCCATTGGCCGCAATTCCTGGCCAATGGGAGCTGCGGAGCTGGTGCTCAGGGCGGGGGCAGCACACGGAACCCCCATGGCTGCCCTTCCACCTAGGAGCTGGAGGGTGTCAGCTGCTTCCTGGAAACCATGTGGGGCCGAGCAGAGAGCTTGCCAACCCCACTGCACCACCAACTGGACTTTTAACAGCCCAGTCAATAGTGCTGACTGGAGCCGCTAGGGTCCCTTTTCGACCAGGTGTTCCGGTTGGAAACCAGACACCTGGCAGCCCTGCGAGTGTGCCCAGGCTGAGGGATGGGCCAGAAACAGCCAGCCCTTGACCTGTATCTAGACACGGCCTCTCCCTACCTACTCACAACAGGCACCAGGGAAAGAGCTGGGTCCCTGATCCCACAATTGGTTTCCTCGCTGGTCCAGTAAGAGTTTCTCCCCATCTTGATTAACACTGTGTGGGCATTGCCTGGGCACCCGCATAACATCCCTGGGTGGGCCAGGTGCAATAAGCTGTGAGGCTACACCCTAACCCAAGCCACATCAGTGCACGTGGAAGGCCCTCCCCAAACCTCCTAATCCCAACTCACGCTGCCAGCTCAGGGCCTGCAGCGAGCCCATCCCACGGCACCTTCCCGCCTCCATGCAGCGTGATTCTCGCCGCTTCGCGGATGAGACTGTGGCAGAACTGGAGCTGTTCTCTAACAACTGATGCATGCAGTATGTTGGGCTGGCTCCTGGGATGTCACTACAGGAACGTATTGGTGTTGTTTTATAGGAGGCTGTAAGGAAAAACAAGGGGGAAGGGAAAGACTGGCTCAAGATGAGGCACCCCCTTGGCAAATACATGAGGGGTGGTAAGGAACAGTGGCAGGGCCAGTGGCTCGGAGGAGTCTGGTTCAACCTGCTGCAGAGCCTGCAGGATCAGAAGGGCCAGAGCTTGGGAACACAGAAGAACAAAAGGGCTATAGCTGTTTAAAAGGGAACCCTGTTAAGAGAGGGGGGAACCAGTCTGAGACACAGGCACGAAGAAGCCAGGTCTGTCTACGTCAGGGGTAGGCAAACTTTTTGGCCTGAGGGCCACATCTGGGTATGGAAACTGTATGGCGGGCCATGAATGCTCACGAAATTTGGGGTTGGGATGTGGGAGGAGGTGAGGGCTCCGGCTGGGGGTGCAGGCCCTGGGGCCAGAAATGAAGAGTTCAGGGTGCGGGAGGGGGCTCCGGACAGGGGCAGAGGGGTGGGTGCGGGGGTGTGTGTGAGGGCTCTGTCTGGGGGTGCGGGCTGTGGGGTGAGGCTGAAGGTTTGGGGTGCAGGAGGGTGCTCCGGGCTGGGACTGAGGGGTTTGGAGGGCGGGAGGGGGATCAGGGCTTGCGCATGGGGTTGGGGGGTGGGAGGGAATCAGGGGTGCAGGCTCCAGGCGTTGCTTACCTCAAGCACCTCCCAGAAGCAGCGGCATGTCCCCCGTCTGGCTCCTACATGGAGGCGTGACCAGGTGGCTCTGCACACTGCTCTCTCTGCAGGTGCCGCCCCGCAGCTCCCATTGGCTATGGTTCCTGGCCAATGGGAGCTACAGGGGCAGTAGTTGGGGCAGCAGCAGTGTGCAGAGCCCCCGGCTGCCCCATACCCATAGGAGCCAGAGGGGGGACATGCTGCTACTTCCGGGAGCTGCGCAGAGTGGGGCAAGCCCCTGACCCTGCTCCCTGCCTGGAGCACCAGTGCGGGGCAAGCCCTGGACCCTGCTCCCTGGCGGGAGCTCGAGGGCCAGATTAAAATGTCTGGATGCCCCTGGATGTGGCTCCTGGGCCGTAGTTTGCCCACTCCGGTCTAGGTCACCAGGAGGATAGGATAAGCCATGCCTGTGGACTGCTTTAAAAGCATTGTTCTCTAAATGCTTTATTCCTACTGTTAAAACAACCGTACTTTGGTTTAAGCCAGCTGTGGGGTCACTGTTCACCCCGGTCAGACTCCTGCAGGGAAGAACCGCAGGTGCTGCACTCAGTCAGCATGGTAACACATAGGGTGCTGTAGCCCAGGTGCGAGAGAACGGCAGGATTCTGCCCCAGGAGAGGAAAAGGCTCAAGGCTGACACCTGAGGAGGTGGCCCAGAGAGTGAATGGGGGTGCTGCTTGCCCTTTGCCCATGACACCGGTGACCATCCTTGCTTACCCTGCTGCCGCCCTGAATGATTAGAATAGTCAAAGAGGAAATAATAAGCCAACCCCTGCAGTCTATACCCGCAGTCCCCCCACCCCCCTCCACATCAATAACGGGAAACAGTCACTCAACAGAGAACCCAGAGGAAACAGGACTAGAAGCCTGGATGGGTTACCCCAGCCCTCCGCTGGCTCCAAGGGGCGGCCAAAGGCCAAGCTTTGCTCCAGGGTACCTCGTGGAGCTGCACATCTTCAGTGGCTGATTCCCAGAAGCTCTGGTGAAAGACGAATCGTGTGTTCTCGCTCCACTCACCTGCCGTAGCTTGAGGTGACAAGAGGTTGCACCCACAGTGACAGAGCAACAATCAGCATAAGAGAAAAACGACCCCTTCCTGGAGAGCTCCCTGGTTCCTGCTAGCACCTCACTGTTGGCTCGCTCTCTTAGGTCCACTCTTTTTCCCAGAATGCCTTTCTGGGGGCAGCCCTTTACATTTGGGAGAACCAAGTAGCTGCAGCGCCGTAGTGCCTCTTTTGCAGGAGGTTGGATCTGTTTCCCTTCCAGCCAGTTCAGACGTCTCTGTCAGATTTGCCCTTTCCTATTACTAAGGAGCAGACCCAGGAGGTGGGACCTGTTCCAGGGCAGGGAAACTATTCACTCATGCCAATGGCTACAGTTCAAGCTTTGTTTTCTTTTTTTAAATCAAATGCAACTAAATCCTAACCTCAGCCTAGCCCCACAGCTGCAAACACACACAAGAGGCGACTACATCCCCTGACAGATGAGAAAACTGAGCTGCCTCTTGATGGGACATTGGAAAACAGTTCCCATCTGTGAACCTCCATGGCTTCCCAATGGAAAGACTGCTTCTCTCGTCTGTCTGCAGGGGCCTGTTTGGCCGTTGAGGCTGATGCACCATGTGGGGCCTGGATTTGCTGCTGCTGTTTCCCATTGTTAGTGGCTGTGCAATGTTGCCAACACAGGACCTGGCAGCCGCATTCTGGGAGTTCTCAGAGCTATTCTCCTCCTTGGTGTTGGTTAATCGCCATGTGTTCCTGCCATAGGATGGATCTTCTGGGTGGCTGGGATGTAGAGCCGCGGGGTGGATGCAGTAGCTCTTCCGAAGGGGAATCCAGTGGGCACCGAACTTGCTTGTAGCCCATGTCCCGGTCACATGGCAGGGGCCAGTATCCATTAACAGCATCAGCTCCTGTTAGAGCCGCTGGGCCGCATAAGGGTAACAGAGTAGCTTCCCCGGAAATAGAGTCTGGGGAGTGGGGTCCAGCCCGGGGCCCTGCCCCGCACCACCTGCCTGGTGCTCCTGCCACCCCGACAGGAGTGCTGGGCGGAGCGAGGCCAGCCCCCGCGCCCCGATCCTGCTCCCTGGTGTAGCACTGAGCTCACAGAAGCATGGGGAGGGGGGCAGGGTCACTCTGGGTACAGGGGCCTGGGGGAGGGGGGCAGGGTCACTCTGGGTACAGGGGCGTGGCAGTGAGCTCACAGAGGCCTGGGGAGGGGGGCAGGGTCACTCTGGGTACAGGTGCCTGGGGGAGGGGGGCAGGGTCACTCTGGGTACAGGGGCGTGGCAGTGAGCTCACAGAGGCCTGGGGGAGGGGGGCAGGGTCACTCTGGGTACAGGGGTCTGGGGAGGGGGGCAGGGTCACTCTGGGTACAGGAGCGTGGCAGTGAGCTCACAGAGGCCTGGGGGAGGGGGCAGGGTCACTCTGGGTACAGACGGTGACCTCAGAGGCCTGTGGCTGGGGAACAGGGCTCTTTCTGGATACGGGGTAAGGGAATCACATTAGGGTTAGGTTAGGATGAGGGTTAATGCGCCACTTATCTCACTCCATCTGGGCCCCCCAAACTGGGACCCTCACCCCCTGCTCTAGCCAAACACCCCTCAGCCATGGCCTTGGCCACCCCAACTCCAGCCAGCACCGCAGCTGAGCCTCTCGATCCCACTCATCAAGAGGTCAGAAAAAAATTAAAATGGAAAGTGCCACATTTTTTGAAAAAACATCTGCAGAAATGCTCTTGCACTTTTCGGCCAGCTCTACCATGAGCCTCCCATACTAGAAACGAATAGGGAAACCAAGGCCTGGATTCTACGTGACTTGCTCCAGGTCACACAGTGACTCTGTGAGCCACTGGGAATTGAACCCAAGAGGCGGGGATCCTAGTTCTCTGCTCCCTTATAAATATTAATACTTTTGATAGTGCTGTGATACCCTCACCTCCTGTAAGCCATTAAGTGCCACTCTTGAACTGATGACAACCCTGCTTGTGGCTGAAGGTAAACTGGGAGCTAGGAGAGATCAGACAAACACAGATGAGAAACGCCAAGACCTGACAGGAGACAGCTGTTCGTGGGGAGGTTATTAGCACAAACATCAACATCTGAAGCATTCCTGGGTGAAGTAGGGCTTCCAGGCAAGATTTGAAGTGGGGAAGGGAGGGGTTGCTCTGAAGTGGGAATCTGTTCCACACATCTGGGTGTGGGGGCAGCAGGTAAGAAGCTAAAGGTGGGAGAAGACTATGGAAGGAGCTGCACCAGGCCTAGCATAATGGAGGTCTGGTCTATGATAAGGGTTTCTAGGTGCTACCGTAATACAAACAATAAAAGCCGGTACCAGGTTAGATACCATGGGGCTAAAACACATGGGTTCAGTCCACATTAGTGTGTCCATTGGGCAGCTGCACCAGCTCTAGCTCAATGGTGCAGGAATTTTTGATGATTGCCAGGCTAGATGCAGTTCTGGTGTCTCTGCCATGGACACCCCAGTTCTGCAGGAGTAAAGAAGCTGCATAGCCAGTCACCCCCGGCCTGACTACTGCAGAGCCAGATGAATGGCTCAGAACTTGCAGCTTCCAGCACAGGGCATAACTGTGGGAGAGGGTGTTTTGATATTTTTAACTATTTGTAGCGCCTGGAAACCCCAGTCAAGGAACCCCATTGTGTCAGGTGTTGTACAGAGCAATAACAAAGAAGACAGCTCCTGCCATAGAGAGCAATCACAACCTACAATGGTGGAAGTGCCCTCTGCACTCTTCTTGGCTTCTAGAATGGGGCTTTGGGTACCACTGCAGCTAAGCACAAGTTAGAGCAGCCCCCTGGTTGCTCTAGCTTGTGCCAGGGGCTGCCCTGCTCCCTGGAGGGCCTCAGACTCAGGCAGGAAGGTGGCATAGGGCTGCTTTTCTCTTCTCCCCCTCCTCTAAGCTGCACGGACTTTAGCTCAGCCGCCAACCAAGGGTCAGGACCCTAGTGCCCGACCCTGAAGGAACCTGGCCTGGAGTCAGTGGGAGCTGTGGGTGCTCAGCACGGCTCAGGGGCTGCTGAGAGACCTCCTGTTCCTTGGGTTCTTTGACTGGAGACTGCGAGGGAACAGTGTGCCTGCAAAATAAAAACGACAAAGGGGAGGGGGAGAACTCTGGCCTGGGACAAAGGTTTTCAAAGGCAGCTGTGTCTGGGGAGTGGGGCATGTCCTGTGTGTTGGTGGCGCAGACACTGGGGGATCTCTGGGTGAATTCATAATTTTGATCCAAAGGAACAAAACAAAAACTTGGCATCAAAATCTGCCACCTCTTCTCAGTGCAAACACACTCCTGCAGGGACCATCAAAGCTTTTGGCAGCAGCTGTGCCCAGGCAGGGCAGAGTCAGAGACCGAGAGGGCAAACTGGGCAACAGAGCAAGAGTCCAAGGCCAGAGGCACAGAAGTTACGTCTATTATCGCGGGTCGTCAAGGGGCAGGGGACTTACCCGACCGTGCCAGCCACGCACGGGGGCGGCTGCCCAACGCCTCTGCGGCTACACTGCCCTCTCCTGCCCGCAAAACCGGCCCAGCCCGGCCCCCTGCGCGCTCCCGGCGTGTCCGAGGCCCGGCGGGCGGCGGGGAGCGGCCCCTTTAAGGGGTGGGGCTCGCAGCCAGGCGCAGGAGGCTCCGCTCGGGACCGGGCTGCCCGGGCGCAGGAGGCTGCGGCCGCGGACCGGCGCCGGCGGGGCCATGAGTGGCCGGGTGGGAGACCTGAGCCCCGCGCAGGCGGAGGCGCTAGCCAAGGTGAGATCTGGTCCCTCTTCTCGGCAACGCCGGTCACTTCCTCCCGCCGGGGCGGTGTTGGTCTTCCCCGCGGGTGCCGCGCCTTCGAGACGCGGGGATCCCGGTGCTGGGCGCTGTACAAGCACCGAGGCCGGAGCAGGGGTCTCCGAGCGGCGCAAGGGACTGGAGACAGCGCCGCTCTGCCCCGAGGCTGTTTGCCTGGCCTCGCCCGCAGGCCGTAAGCGAGACTTCGGATCTCCCTGCGCCCAGCTTCCGCAGGACCCTCCCGCTCCTCGGCCCCAGCCCCGGGGGAGTCGGGTGCCCGGAGCAGCCCAGGCCGGCGGCGGGAGCTGACTCGCGCGGGAGGCTCCGGGGCAGTGAGTGCAGCCCCGGCTGCCCTGGCCGAGGGACCCGCTCCGGGAGCGTGGTCGGGCTGGGGGCCGCCGAGCCCCTGGTAAGCTCCCTCCAGCCTGCGCAGCCGGGGCAGAGGAAGCTCTCCGGGTGACGAGGAGCAGGGCCCCCCCGTACCCCGAGACGGGCCCGGAGCAGGGACGGGGACGCTGCTGGGCCCTAGGTGGGCCCGTGGTTGCCTGGCGGCTAGCAGAGGGGGCTGGGCGCGAGGGAGTATCCTGGCCTGTGTCTGGCGGAAAAGGCTCACGGCCGCGGGCTGATTGCTCAGCAATTATTCCTTAAGCAGCTTCTGAATGAGAGCGCGCGGCGGCGGGGTCGCTGCACAAGGTACCAGCACCCTGCTCCCCAGGGCGCCTCCTTCACGGAGCGGCTGGGAGCTTCCCCGCAGCCCGCACCGTTCCCGCAGTGCGATTCCTCCCTGGACAGGAGAACCTGGGCCTTTGCACAGCGAAGCCTAAGGTCTTGTTCCCTGCAGCTCCTGGAGAGAAAGGAGCTCTGAGCCCCTCCACAGCCTGTGCTCCTTCCCCATATCATAGTGCCTCTTGCAAGGCCAGCCAGGAAGAAGTGGCTTAACTCACATGGTTGCTTCTTTGCCCCCTCTCTGTTCCCCTCCTTGTAAACCGTGAGCCTTTCCTGCCTCCTGTGAGCCTTTCATCCCTGCTTCCCATCTTTCTTTCCCTTGCCCTTCTGCACACACTTGCTCTTTCCTAGTCTCTGTCCCAGCATGCCCCTGTGGGGGCCTTTTGTGAAACTGCTCTTCCTTTGATGCTAACTTGGACCCATCTGTACTGGCCTCAGGAAGGGGAGAGAGGGCTGAGGGGGTGCCAAAGGAAAAGGCCCCTGTTCTGCAATCCAGCATTCTTGGATCCATACTTACATACAGCCCCGCGCCACTATTACAAATACCTGGGAAGCCTGAGCGTTGCTGGTGGCAACCACTGGCTCAGAGCTCCCTGTAGGGAGCAAGGGAGTTTGCTCAGCTGGGTTGGGAGAACCTCTTCCCCAGTGTGTTCGGAGGGAAGAGCTGTCGGCTTTGAATGGGCCTTTGTCAGTCTGGGGGAGCAAAACGTGGCTTTGTCGTATAGCACCTACTTCAGTGTATGTACAGGCAGGGATTTGTGCATGAAGGCAAACTGCACCCACCCCCAGTGTGCTCCTCTGCGCCCCTTCCTGTGGACCCCACTGCCTTGAGCCAGGTGTGCAGCATGAGCGGGAAGTACCATTTTTACATGCTCTGGGCATAGGCGCTAATGATGGCACAAGGCGGTGGAGAACCAGCCCCCACTGCATTTGAAGAGCGCATATGCTATAGGGATTTAAATCTGTTCCTCTAAAGGATAAAGAATAACCTTGTAGATAAGGTGTGCAAGTGGGTCCTGGGAGATTTGGAGTCTGTTCCTAGCTCTACCTGCGTGGACTATGGCAAGTGACTTAACCTTTGTGCCTCAGTTTCCCCAGCTCTAAAATAGGGACAATTCTATTTCCCTACTTCTCTGGAGGGTATTCATTAGTGCTTGGGGAACCTTGGCAGCCCTAGAAGTGCCGTGTGCTATCAACAGTTCTATTTTGCATTCTTCTCAGCTGGTTTTCATGACTCCTCCTGTCAGTTTCAATGGAACTTTCAAGTTAAAATAAAAAGAAAATGAGGGATGGTGGCTGGCAGGGAAACCTCTCCCTCACCCCACTTCCTGGCATTCAAGGGAGAGGGAGGCCATGGGTTAAGAGTGGGACATCCCAGGAGCTTTCTGTGGTGTGTTTGTGTGGGAGTGAGGGAAGGATCTCAACTAATCATCATGTACACAAGCAGGTCCTCCTATCTGTCTAGAAAGTAAACAAATCCAAGTGACAGTAACTTAGTGTAGAACTACATTCATAGCTCCCCTAAAGATCACCTGAAAGTCACCCTGAAACAGCATTCAAAGATGGCTACCTTCCCCATTGAAATCTGCATTCATCAGAGGAAGTCTCAGCTCCACAGATTTCACAGGGCTATGGTGGCTGGCATAGGAAAGGTTTCTGGTGTTAGACTCGGGAGCCTGATTCTTGTACCTTGCATGGCCATTGACTCCTCGGCAAAGTTTCTGGGCAGCATTTCACCCGCCCAGCCCTCTTGCACACGTGTCAGTGATCTCACGAGGGGCAGGGCAGGGGAGAATCCGATTGCACACTGATTTATTTCTGGATGCAGTTCAGTTGGTTTTGATGATCTGTTGCATCATTCCAAACAACGACGTGTATCTTCCTTTAAAGGATCATGGAACATGGATCCCAAGATCCCAGCTCATTAACAATTGAGAGCCACTGTTGTCTGACGGCCGCGCAGGGCCCCCTGTGAAATGCATCGGTGGGTTGCAGCCTGGTTTCTAGCGGACAAGTGTCCACATGAAACCCAGAATGATTAAGCCTCAGCAGAGGTATGAAGGACTGCCTGGCCACAGTTGCCAACTTTAATGCGGTAAATAACCACCCTGACTTTCACAATAAGCCAAAAATCAAGCTAATCCCGTTTCAAAACAAGCCCCCAGAAAGCCAATCCCTAAAAACCCCAACACTCTATGTGATTAGATCCCCATGGTGTGCAGTCGGGGACAGAGGTGGGCCTGCTGTGCAACCCTGACTCTCCCACCCTTGCCCCTGCTTGCTGGGAGCTGATAAGAAAAAAAAAAGAAGCAACAAGCTACTAGTCAACAAGCAACTCACAAGCAAATTAAGCCAAAAATAAGCCCAATTTTGGCAGGTTTTTTTTGTGGGTTTGGCATGTCTGTGCCTGGGCAAGAGACTGAACCATCCCTCACACCAAGAGGTGAATTCCTGGCACATTTGCATAGTAGTGAGGGGGAAGGGGAGCAAACTGGAAGGAGAGGTAGATACGCTGGAGGGTAGGGATAGGATACAGAGGGACCTAGACAAATTGGAGGATTGGGGCAAAAGAAATCTGATGAGGTTCAACAAGGACAAGCGCAGAGTCCTGCACTTAGGACGGAAGAATCCAATGCACCGCTACAGACTAGGGACTGAATGGCTCAGCAGCAGTTCTGCAGAAAAGGACCTAGGGGTTACAGTGGACGAGAAGCTCGATATGAGTCAACAGTGTGCCCTTGTTGCCAAGAAGGCCAATGGCATTTTGGGGTGTATAAGTAGGGGCATTGCCAGCAGATCGAGGGACATGATCGTTCCCCTCTATTCAACATTGGTGAGGCCTCATCTGGAGTACTGTGTCCAGTTTTGGGCCCCACACTTCAAGAAGGATGTGGAGAAATTGGAGAGAGTCCAGTGGAGGGCAACAAAAATGATTAGGGGTCTGGAACACATGACTTATGAGGAGAGGCTGAGGGAACTGGGATTGTTTGGTCTACGGAAGAGAAGAATGAGGGGGGATTTGATAGCTGCTTTCAACTACCTGAAAGGTGGATCCAAAGAGGATGGATCTAGACTATTCTCAGTGATAGCAGATGACAGGACAAGGAGTAATGGTCTCAAGTTGCAGTGGGAGAGATTTAGGTTGGATATTAGGAAAAACTTTTTCACTAGGAGGGCAATGAAACACTGGAATGCGTTACCTAGGGAGGTGGTGGAATCTCCTTCCTTTGAGGTTTTTAAGGTCAGGCTTGACAAAGCCCTGGCTGGGATGATTTAGATGGGATTGGTCCTGCTCTGGGCAGGGGGTTGGACTAAGGGTATGTCTACACTACAGAATAAGTTTGAATTTATAGAAGTCGGTTTTTTAGAAATCGGTTTTATATATTCGAGTGTGTGTGTCCCCACAGAAAATGCTCTAAGTGCATTAAGTGCATTAACTCGGCGGAGTGCTTCCACAGTACCGAGGCTAGAGTCGACTTCCGGAGCGTTGCACTGTGGGTAGCTATCCCACAGTTCCCGCAGTCTCCGCTGCCCATTGGAATTCTGGGTTGAGATCCCAATGCCTGATGGGGCTAAAACATTGTCGCGGGTGGTTCTGGGTACATATCGTCAGGCCCCCGTTCCCTCCCTCCCTCCGTGAAAGCAAGGGCAGACAATCATTTCGCGCCTTTTTTCCTGAGTTACCTGTGCAGACGCCATACCACGGCAAGCATGGAGCCCGCTCAGGTAACCGTCACCCTATGTCTCCTGGGTGCTGGCAGACGCGGTACGGCATTGCTACACAGTAGCAGCAACCCCTTGCCTTGTGGCAGCAGACGGTACAGTACGACTGGTAGCCGTCATCGTCATGTCCGAGGTGCTCCTGGCCACGTCGGCTGGGAGCGCCTGGGCAGACATGGGCGCAGGGACTAAATTTGGAGTGACTTGACCAGGTCATTCTCTTTAGTCCTGCAGTCAGTCCTATTGAATCGTCTTATGGTGAGCGGGCAGGCGATACGGACTGCTAGCAGTCGTACTGTACCATCTTCTGCCGAGCAGCCATGAGATGTGGATGGCATGCAGTCCTTCTGCACTGTCTGCTGCCAGCCAAAGATGTAAAAGATAGATGGAGTGGGTCAAAACAAGAAATAGACCAGATTTGTTTTGTACTCATTTGCCTCCTCCCCTGTCTAGGGGACTCATTCCTCTAGGTCACACTGCAGTCACTCACAGAGAAGGTGCAGCGAGGTAAATCTAGCCATGTATCAATCAGAGGCCAGGCTAACCTCCTTGTTCCAATAAGAACGATAACTTAGGTGCACCATTTCTTATTGGAACCCTCCGTGAAGTCCTGCCTGAAATACTCCTTGATGTACAGACACCCCCTTTGTTGATTTTAGCTCCCTGAAGCCAACTCTGTAAGCCGTGTCGTCAGTCGCCCCTCCCTCCGTCAGAGCAACGGCAGACAATCGTTCCGCGCCTTTTTTCTGTGCGGACGCCATACCAAGGCAAGCATGGAGGCCGCTCAGCTCACTTTGGCAATTAGGAGCACATTAAACACCACACGCATTATCTAGCAGTATATGCAGCACCAGAACCTGGCAAAGCGATACCGGGCGAGGAGGTGACGTCAGCGCGGTCACGTGAGTGATCAGGACATGGACACAGATTTCTCTGAAAGCATGGGCCCTGCCAATGCATGCATCATGGTGCTAATGGGGCAGGTTCATGCTGTGGAACGCCGATTCTGGGCTCGGGAAACAAGCACAGACTGGTGGGACCGCATAGTGTTGCAGGTCTGGGACGATTCCCAGTGGCTGCGAAACTTTCGCATGCGTAAGGGCACTTTCATGGAACTTTGTGACCTGCTTTCCCCTGCCCTGAGGCGCATGAATACCAAGATGAGAGCAGCCCTCACAGTTGAGAAGCGAGTGGTGATAGCCCTGTGGAAGCTTGCAACGCCAGACAGCTACCGGTCAGTTGGGAATCAATTTGGAGTGGGCAAATCTACTGTGGGGGCTGCTGTGATGCAAGTAGCCCACGCAATCAAAGATCTGCTGATATCAAGGGTAGTGACCCTGGGAAATGTGCAGGTCATAGTGGATGGCTTTGCTGCAATGGGATTCCCTAACTGTGGTGGGGCTATAGACGGAACCCATATCCCTATCTTGGCACCGGAGCACCAAGCCGCCGAGTACATAAACCGCAAGGGGTACTTTTCGATAGTGCTGCAAGCTCTGGTGGATCACAGGGGACGTTTCACCAACATCAACATGGGATGGCCGGGAAAGGTGCATGATGCTCGCATCTTCAGGAACTCTGGTCTGTTTCAAAAGCTGCAGGAAGGGACTTTATTCCCAGACCAGAAAATAACTGTTGGGGATGTTGAAATGCCTATAGTTATCCTTGGGGACCCAGCCTACCCCTTAATGCCATGGCTCATGAAGCCATACACAGGCAGCCTGAACAGTATTCAGGAGCTGTTCAACTACAGGCTGAGCAAGTGCAGAATGGTGGTAGAATGTGCATTTGGACATTTAAAGGCGCGCTGGCGCAGTTTACTGACTCGCTTAGACCTCAGCGAAACCAATATTCCCACTGTTATTACTGCTTGCTGTGTGCTCCACAATATCTGTGAGAGTAAGGGGGAGACGTTTATGGCGGGGTGGGAGGTTGAGGCAAATTGCCTGGCTGCTGGTTACGCGCAGCCAAACACCAGGGCGGTTAGAAGAGCACAGGAGGGCGCAGTACGCATCAGAGAAGCTTTGAAAACCAGTTTCATGACTGGCCAGGCTACGGTGTGAAAGTTCTGTTTGTTTCTCCTTGATGAAACCCCCCGCCCCTTGGTTCACTCTAGTTCCCTGTAAGCTAACCACCCGCCCCTCCTCCCTTCAATCACCGCTTGCAGAGGCAATAAAGTCATTGTTGCTTCACATTCATGCATTCTTTATTCATTCATCACACAAATAGGGGGATGACTACCAAGGTAGCCCAGGAGGGGTGGTGGAGGAGGGAAGGAAAATGCCACACAGCACTTTAAGCACAGCACTTTAAAAGTTTACAACTTTAAAATTTATTGAATGACAGCCTTCTTTTTTTTTTTGGGCAATCCTCTGTGGTGGAGTGGCTGGTTGGCCGGAGGCCCCCCCACCGCGTTCTTGGGCGTCTGGGTGTGGAGGCTATGGAACTTGGGGAGGAGGGCGGTTGGTTACAGAGGGGCAGCAGTGGCAGTCTGTGCTCCAGCTGCCTTTGCTGCAGCTCAACCATACACTGGAGCATACTGGTTTGGTCCTGCAGCAGCCTCGGCATTGAATCCTGCCTCCTCTCATCACGCTGCCGCCACATTTGAGCTTCAGCCCTCTCTTCAGCCCGCCACTTACTCTCTTCAGCCCTCCACCTCTCCTCCCGGTCATTTTGTGCTTTCCTGCACTCTGACATTATTTGCCTCCACGCATTCGTCTGTGCTCTGTCAGTGTGGGAGGACAGCATGAGCTCGGAGAACATTTCATCGCGAGTGCGTTTTTTTTTTTCTAAGCTTCACTAGCCTCTGGGAAGGAGAAGATCCTGTGATCATTGAAACACATGCAGCTGGTGGAGAAAAAAAAAGGGACAGCGGTATTTAAAAAGACACATTTTATAAAACAGTGGCTACACTCTTTCAGGGTAAACCTTGCTGTTAACATTACATACATAGCACACGTGCTTTCATTACAAGGTCGCATTTTGCCTCCTCCCACCGCGTGACTACCCCCTCAACCTTCCCCCCTCCCTGTGGCTAACAGCGGGGAACATTTCTGTTTAGCCACAGGCAAACAGCCCAGCAGGAATGGGCTCCTCTGAGTGTCCCCTGAAGAAAAGCACTCTATTTCAACCAGGTGACCATGAATTATATCTCACTCTCCTGAGGATAACACAGAGAGATAAAGAACGGATGTTGTTTGAATGCCAGCACACATACACTGCAATGCTTTGTTCTACAATGATTCCCGAGTACGTGTTACTGGCCTGGAGTGGTAAAGTGTCCTACCATGAAGGACGCAATAAGGCTGCCCTCCCCAGAAACCTTTTGCAAAGGCTTTAGGACTACATCTAGGAGAACCGCAAATGCCAGGGCAAAGTAATCCTTTCACATGCTTGCTTTTAAACCATGTATAGTATTTTAAAAGGTACACTCACCAGAGGTCCCTTCTCCGCCTGCTGGGTCCAGGAGGCAGCCTTGGGTGGGTTCGGGGGGTACTGGCTCCAGGTCTAGGGTGAGAAACAGTTCCTGGCTGTTGGGAAAACCGGTTTCTCCGCTTGCTTGCTGTGAGCTATCTACAACCTCCTCCTCATCATCATCTTCTTCGTCCCCAAAACCTGCTTCCGTATTGCCTCCATCTCCATTGAAGGAGTCAAACAACACGGCTGGGGTAGTGGTGGCTGAACCCCCTAAAATGGCATGCAGCTCATCATAGAAGCAGCATGTTTGGGGCTCTGACCCAGAGCGGCTGTTCGCCTCTCTGGTTTTCTGGTAGGCTTGCCTCAGCTCCTTCAGTTTCACGCGGCACTGCTTCGGGTCCCTGTTATGGCCTCTGTCCTTCATGCCCTGGGAGATTTTCACAAAGGTTTTGGCGTTTCGAAAACTGGAACGGAGTTCTGATAGCACGGATTCCTCTCCCCAAACAGCGATCAGATCCCGTACCTCCCGTTCGGTCCATGCTGGAGCTCTTTTGCGATTCTGGGACTCCATCATGGTCACCTGTGCTGATGAGCTCTGCATGGTCACCTGCAGCTTGCCACGCTGGCCAAACAGGAAATGAGATTCAAAAGTTCACGGTTCTTTTCCTGTCTACCTGGCCAGTGCATCTGAGTTGAGAGTGCTGTCCAGAGCGGTCATAATGGAGCACTCTGGGATAGCTCCCGGAGGCCAATACCATCGAATTGTGTCCACAGTACCCCAAATTCGAGCCGGCAACGTCGATTTAAGCCCTAATCCACTTGTCAGGGGTGGAGTAAGGAAATCGATTTTAAGAGCCCTTTAAGTCGAAATAAAGGGCTTCATTGTGTGGACGGGTGCAGGTTTACATCGATTTAACGCTGCTAAATTCGACCTAAAGTCCTAGTGTAGACCAGGGAAGATGTCCTCCAGAGGTCCCTTCCAACTCTGATATTCTATGATTCTAAGGGGGCAATTTATCCTGTTGCTGGCTGTTTGACCTCTTCTGTGGCTAAACGTAGGGCCTGCAGGGTTGTCAAGCCAACACCTTGTGCTACTGCTTACATTTGATTTTAAACGTGTAGACACAAACTTCAAACAAACCAAGACCCCAAAAGACAGGCTGGGGATGTCCAAATCTCTCCCTTTGAGGTGAAGCTGGAACCTGCCATGTGTCGTAATGTCAGGGGCAATTTGGAGACTCCTCTGCCTTTTTGACTCAGGCTGTAGCAGGACGGAGGAGTTGCCCGCCTGGAACAGACCCAAGGAACCTCTGCTAGAGCCAGGACACTGAACTAGTGGCCAGCACTAGATACTTCAGAGGCAGGTATCTAGGTACTAGGTACTAGATACTTACTAGATACAGCACTAGGTACTTCAAAACCCTTCCATAAGGGACAATAATGCCACATTTTCCAAAGTTCCCTCCCAGACTGTAGGCGCTGAGAGATCTGAGGCCAAATTTCCAGGGATGCTGGGGGCTTGAAGCTCCCTTGGTTTCAAATGAGGTTGGGGGTGCTCAGCACTTGGAAAACCATGTCTCAAGTCAGACACCCAAAATCAGGGACAGTCTCGAAAATGTGGACCTTAAGAATAACAAGCCCATTTGGGGGCCATTTCTAGCCACAGATTTATGGGTGTGCGGTTACATCTTGGAGCAGGAAGGTTGATCTCCTTTACACATTTATATTCTTTCTGATCATCACTATAAACACCTTATTCTTTTTTCAAAACCCTATCAAACTCTTTACCTCACCCATGTCTTGTGGCAGCGAGCTCCAGAGAGATAAATTAGACATTTTAAGTGTTTCCTCCTATCAGTTTTAGCTGTGTTGCCTTTTAATGTCTTGGGAGGTCCTCTTGTTTTTATATTATAAGAGGCAGACTAGGATGAGATCAGTGAGGATGGAGGGGGTATTTTAGATGGACAGTCGAATTAGAGAGAGATGGATTTTAAGCACTGGGAAGGTCGGGGAAGTTTTGCAAACTGAGAAGTGTTATATTCTCTGCAGAGGGTCTGATCTGATGCATAGTTGCATGTAACTGAAATCTCTTTTGTGCAATATCTTTGGTTCAAGGAATCAGAGATTGGGCACAGCATTAATTGACAACAGATCTTTAGAAATTCTCCTCTCCTGTTTCCCGGAGCTACTGATGGGCTTTCATCCTATCCTCCCTTCACAATGCTCCTCCGGGGTGCTGTTCTCAAGGCAAAGGAATTAATCTCAGATTTAATTACACCTAATTTCATACCACAATAATCTAACCAGCCCCATTAAGAAGTGAAGGGAAGGACCTAGAGTGCTGTGCCCCTCTGAGATTTATGCTATTCATTGCCCTGGTGCGGCTGTGGCTGACCCCGGTGTGTGTCGTGGAAGGGGGGGGGGGGGGGGATCAGCTGATCTGCAGGCTCAGGCTTAACTCGCATATCTGTTATTTGGGACTGATTCCTCCCCTGTCCTTTGCACCCCCGTGTTGGGTTTGCCATTGACCAAGGCACCTGCTGGGGCTCCCCTGCTGCCTCTCAAACTGGTGGCAATGTTGTACTGCACAGCAGCCTGCCGGGGGTGCGTGCATAGCGATTCCCAGCCACTAAGCCCTTGTTCTCCATATATCGGACAGGAATCAGCTCTGTGATTCAGAAGAGGACTGCCAACCCAAGGAGAGAAATGCTGCCTCCTACACAAATTGCCCACATGCCGCCATCCACGTGTCTTTGTGCCCTATGCCAGCACCTGAAGGGTCCCTTCAGGAACCCTAGAGACCTCTTTAGACCCCTAAAGATTGCTTTAATGCCTCCCCTTTTGGGAGACTGAGATCAGGGCTACCCTGTATCACTGACCCCCATTTCCCTTCCAGCTCAGCTATGCTGTTCCTCACTTGGCCAGAAGGAGCCTTGTTGAGCATGACAAGCATCCCCTCTCGCGGGGTGGGATGTGCTGCCCTGCGCCCAGCACTGCAAGGCATTAGACGTGCTCCACCACCCCACCTGGCTCCCCTCACAGCCGTGTCCAGGGTTGAGCTGGTTAGCTGGCCAGGTGTAGGGAGGTCCCCAGTAGACTTCATGGTATCTTTGGCCCCTCCAGGAAGCTCTTTCTGGGGTGGTTTGGGGAAGCGTTGCTCTGGATGGGGGAGTGTTGTGGTGACTGGCAGTCTGGCTAGGGCAGGAGGGCTTCATCCCTTACACTTCCCCTATGAACGGTCAGACCCTGGGTTAGGCTCATCTCATGGAGAGCTTGGTTCCACAGCCAGACCAGACCCCATCTCGCCCCTGCCTGGGGCCTGGGCTCTGTGCCAGCACTTCCTAAGGAGCGCAGCGGGCTGAGTGACCAGTGGCCCTGCTTCTTCTTTGCTCGCTTCCTGCTTGTGCCTTTGAACTGCCTTTGGTCTGCCCCTATTCCCAGGGTGGTCTGGGCCTGGGCAGCCCCCAGTTAAAATTACAAGAACCCCAGGGCTGAGGCCAAGCCCCCTTTGCCCGCCACATCTCTTATGCTGGCCGGGGAGTCCCCTTATGCAAGGGCTATTCCCAGGAGCAGTAACAACCCCCTTGTGCTGCCCAAGTGCCGTGACCCTTCTGGCACGAGCGATTGCTGGGGAACGGTCCTTGATGGAGCTGGCTCCTCACTGGCTCATGGCTTTGACGATCAGGACTAAGGCCTTGATCTGGCAGTGGCAGCATGAAAACCAGAGCTGCGTGCTGAGCGTGATCGATGAAAGCACTGAAAGGCCCTTGCGAACAAGAGACCCAAGCTGAAAGCAACTGGAGTCCCAGCCTGACGCCCAGTGCACAGGACCTCGGGTGGGTGTGGGTCACAGGACTGAAATATTAACTTGGGGGGGCGGGAGGGGGATGCCAGTTGTCTGAAAGACGTCAGCCACACAGGCAGTTGTACTGTATAGGCTGCTGCGTGGGGTGGGGTGGAAGGAGAAGAATGCCCCCTTGGAGTGACGCCTTGGAAAGGAGCAGCAGGGAAACACCCTGCCAGCAAGATCTGCGGGGCTGTGGACAGGCCTGCCGGGGAGGTGGTGGGAATGTCTCCCATGGGACCCTGCAGCTAGACTGGACAGAGAACAACTCTGTCTCCAGCCCAGAGAGCTGGACTAGATGGGACCTAATGGGTCTCTTCCACTCTACAGCATCTTCCCTGGAGCCCTGATCTCTAGGGGCCAGGGTATGCTGCCATGCTGAAGAGCTCCTTATTAGACAGCTCCCTGCCTCCGCCCCCCAATACTCCTTCAGTGCCTGCAGCCAGCCCTGCCTGCAGCATAAGCGATGGCAGTAAGGGAGAGACACCCCACCTCCCACCCCCCCGGAAGTCACTGCAGTCTGAGCATCTCCAGTTGGGGCTCAAACATTGGGCTCAGGCCTTTTGCTGTTCTGTAGCCCCCAGCTCCAGCAGCACAAGGCCCATGCAGGAGACACGTCCTGCTGTAGACATGCTCAGCAGTCGTTTTGCCCTTTGGTCTTTGTGGCCGAGGGAAGCAGGTCAGGCGTGTGAGAGGCCTTGGCCAGATGGCAGGGCAGGCATGGGGCTGTCTGTGGACTGGCAGCTGAGCACTTCCTGGGCAGCTGCATGCAACCGTGCCCCTTGGGAGTCTACCTTCTCCTTGCCTCTGCCTTGACTAAAGTCTAGCCGTGGGATCAACCTTGGGAGTCCCAGGGCCCAGCACCTGGGGATGAACGGGGCGGGTCATGGGGGGCTGAGTGAGAAGTCCTGGCCTCTGCACTGAGCTTGCAAACCCTGCAGTGCCCAGTTGGTGCCTCCAGCTTTGCTGGTCCTGCACTGGGAAGTGCCCATGATGTCGTCCCTGCTCCTCTTCTCTCTGCAGTTCCGCGAGAACCTCCAGGATGTGCTGCCCTACCTTCCCCGTCAGGACGACTACTTCCTCTTGCGCTGGCTCAGAGGTAATGGGGGCTGGAGGGAGGGGGGAGATGCGGTGTGGAGCCAAGCTAGCCCTAGCTGCCCCCCAGCACCCAGGCCCTTGAGCCAAGATCAGCCGCAGGCACTGAGCCACTGCTAGAGCTTTCTTGTTGTTCCCACTCCTGTGAGACAGGAAGAAAATGGACGGGCCTGATTTTGCCTGGGGTGTTTTAGGTTTGTCGCGTAGAGGGAGTGGGGCGTGTCACCACTGAGCAGGGAAGGGGGGAAATGCCTCCTTGGGCACAAGAGGAGGGAATGGCGGGGAGGGGGAGAATGCCCTTGCTGAGCCCCGGGGAGGAGGGGGAAGGGGCAATCCCTTAGCACCACAGGGGCACTCATGAGCTTTTGATGTAGGATTCAGACCCCAGGCTCCAAGCAGCCCTGGGATGTCGTCTGAGTGCAGTGGAAGATGGTTCAGGTGTGGGAACTGGATCAGAGGAGGGAGAAGCTGCTCTTTTGTCTGGGGCAGCTGCGGTTTTGGGTTATACACAAACCCTGTGAGCAGGCACAGGGAGCTAGCCACGTTTCTTGGTTGCATTAGCTGTGGCCCGAGCCAGCCCTGCAGCAGGGAACCCAGAGGGGAAAGGGCTAAGAGCTCAGCTCTGTGAGAGGTCTGGGCCCTGGCCATGGCAGAGCCAGCCTGCTCTGTCTGGAGCATGAATGGGCTGTCTTGGCTTGTGGGGGCACATGGCTTCCTGAGCACCCAGGCCTGAGTGTTTCCAGCCCTGCTGCTCCTCTCACATGGGGCCTTAGTCCTGGAGGGATCCCCAGGTCTGATTCCCAGCTGGGGGCACCAGTGGGACACTCCACAGTTACAGCCAAGCAGGGAAGAAAGACTAACAGCATCCCAGTGGCAGCCATGACATCTTTGCCTTTGAGTCACAAATGGGCAGGGAGCGCATCCATATGGGGAGGCAGGGAAAGGGCCTGTCCCTGTGGGAGAAGAGCAGGGCCTTGGCTGCCAGGGTGCACATCTCTCTGCAGCGTGAAGATGGCTCTGTCCTGTCAAGGAGCTTTTATTTCCCTGGCCTGGCCCTCCCCTCCCCTGCAGGTGCATTCTGGATGGCTCTGTGCCATCTGCAGGAATCTGGGTGGGTTGGTACAGATCAGGCCGATATCACAGGCCGGATAAGGGGCCTTATCTTGGCGGGGGGGTGGGGCAGTGAACTGTGAGCTCTATTATCACAGAGAACTCCCTCCCTCCCACTTTCTCCTGCTATCTGTATTGAAAAGTCCAAAATTCAGAGTCTTGTCCAGCCCTGACCTGGGAGATTTCTATCCCCCTGCACAGAGGCCAGGCAATGCCAGATCCAGGGCAAGTCCCAGTACAAGGG